TGTGAAATGATTGTTCAAGTGCTGAAACTGATGAAATTATGAAAAATCAATAAAAGTATTTCCAATTTAAAACGATCCTTACTGATTTGCTTTGCAATTACTGCATATGTTGCTACTGCTGAGTGAAGTGTTTTATGGTACAATAGGATTACATGAGATCTCACATACAAAAATCTGCTGTCATAGACATTAAATGTATTCTCACAGCATTTCCATAATCATATTAGCATAATCCATTAACAATCGAACAACAGCTTTTGAGCATTCGGTTTCAAATGGCAAATAAATTATGCATAGAGTGCTTTCAAAAAAATATTTATTAGGATGACTAAACAAAAGACGAGAACTTTCATCTGAAAATAAAAATAAAAACACAGATACACAACTGGAAGAAACTGAATGCAAAACAGAAGCAGCTAGACAGTGTATTAGCCACACAAGACCAGAGTACAATGCATTTTAAGTGCATTAAAATTCTCGTTCAAGCTGCCACGTTGCACCAGATTTCAGCCACACATCCAATCCTGCTACTGGACCTTCAACACCAGTAAATGCCATATGTAGCAAATGATCCATGCCCTGAAGCAAAACATCCCACTTGCCTCCTGGTGACGACAGCTCAAGCTTCATTTAACTCGATGTATGTTCCTGCCAAGTCGTGCATTTGTCCGTTTAGACCAATTTCTGGGTCTTCTCCTCTGCTAACTGCTCCTCACCCCGTTTCTGCTTGCTGAACATGCCTTTGTACAGTGCCTTCTCGTTCTGATAGTCTTGGCTGAGTCTCTCCTCCACTCGCTGCAGCTGTTTCTTTACATCAGGATCTGAGAAATGGATAACAGGGCAATATGAATGCCTCATTATTTCCAATCTAAGCACTGACCTAAACTTTGAATACAGATGTGAAACAGCAGTTCAATCGAAGACTGTTTGATCTTACTGACTCTTAAGAAAATGGATGCATCCACAAAATGTAACAACACAACACTGCATTACATAACGGGCTCCCACACTGTATTCCCTTGTGAAAACTGTAGCTGAAAATCCCTGGCAGCTTTATCTCTGGGTTTTTTTTTTCCTGTCATGCTTTCTGACACGCACATTTAAACGTATGCACACATACACTTTTTTATTTAATAGGACAAGCAAACTTGTGAAGATAGGCACCAGATAAACCAAAATAAATAAGTCTGCGGAATACTGTGGAAAATTTGTGTAACTTATCAAATGACCAGCCCAGTAATATTTAATGGGAACCCTGTGTCTGGCTTCTTTTCAGCAAGCAGTGTTATATCAAATCATATGATTGCCATATGATTATCATTGCACACTTTCAATCTGTATAGCATGCTGAGAATGTTCACTTATTCTGTGTGGCATTTAACCGTGCTTAGATGGCTGTTCACACAGGACACATTCTTGCATTTAAATATAGCTGAAGGAGCAGAAGAGAATGCAGGGGTCTTGTGACATGTTTTTTTAACTATTTTTAACTTGACTTTGCTCATGGCATGAGACACTGAAAAAATAGCTAGACAAAAGCAAATATCTGACACCCACATGGACAGAGATAATTAAAATATTACGTAGACAGAATGCAGTAAGTGAACGACCCACTGCTCTTTTGATTTTTTTCTCAGCTAGATATCCGTGTTTATATCATAACGATAATTTGACAAACTGAATCCAGCTAAATCAATTGGTTCCCCTAACTCAACTTGGTAACCCCTAAGAGAGCTCTGGCGACCCCTGGTGCAGGTTGACGAATGATCAAACAGACAAGAAAGGTGGGATGTGGTAGGTTTTTACCGTTAGGTTTCCCCCTGCTGGCCTGTGTGAGGTAATGTCGAGCAGTCTGAGCATCACCCAGCTCTAATGAGGCCACTCCAGCTCTGTAGAGGGCCTTAATGTCACCTGACCTCCACTGGAGCACTTTCAGACTGTACTCTAACACAGTGGTTCCCAACCCTGGTCCTGGAGGCACCCCAACACTGCACGTTTTGCATGTCTCCTTAATCGAACACACCTGATTCCGGTCATCAGCTCATTAGTAGAGACTCCAAGACCTGAAACTGGTACGTCAGAGAAAGGAGACATGCAAAATGTGCAGTGTTGGGGCGCCTCCAGGACCAGGGTTGGGAACCACTGCTCTAACACACGGGCATAGTCCACCAGCTCTCGCTGCAGCAGACATGCTGTGAAACACACAAATAGGTAAAGAGGAGAATGCTTTCCCAGATAAGATTTACAAACACTGCCATTCAATACTTTGTCATCAGTAAGATTTTTGAAAGAAGTCTCTTATGCCCACGAAGGCTTTATTTGGTCAAAAACAAAGTAAAAACAGTGATATTGTGAAATACTATTAAAATCTCAAATACATTGTAAAGTCTAATTTATTCCTGTGAAGGCAAGCTACATGCTTGCATACATTTTTCTGATGAATCTTTGAAGAACAGAAAGTTAAAAAGAACTATTTATTTGAAATGGAAATCTTTTGTAAGATTATAAATCCCTTTACTGTCACTTTTGAGTTTAGTGTGTCCTTGCTGAATACAAGTATACATTTCTTTCAAAAGACCACAAAGTTTTGAATGGTAGTGTTTAATAAAGCAAGATCTCTTCTGCTATGGGTTATCATGAGATCAAGGACAAAGTTCACACGATTTTGTTTCCTACTTCTCATATGATTAACTGCTATGGTTAGAGGTTTTAATGTGGTCAATATGATGAGATGCCAGCAAAGAGTGAGAGCAAATAACAGCATCCTAGTTATGGGGGTAAAATATATGGAAACTGTTTTGCTGAGATAGACACAAATGGAGGGATTTGGTTCGGAGGTTTCAAACCAATAGGAAATGGTTAAACCAAAGGGTATGATAATGCATGACAGATAATAATACTATGATAATGCATGACCAGTGATGATACCGAGCCTAGCCTGCCCAGTAAGAAACTGTTCCTATAAACGTGCTTAAAAACGCACAGAAATTAGTGTTTGGAAAAAAGTGCCTGCAAAATTATTACACTTTAGTGTTGTTTAATTCAGTACCAAAGCATTACTACCTCACACCGCCACAGTATCTTTTTTGGAAGAAATGCAAACCTGTTAAATTGTTATAGCAGTCTACTTGAGTGCTCCTCAGCAGGTCCTCCTGCGACTGGCTCAGTTTAGGCACCTGAGCCATAAACTCTTGCAGGGCAGAGGTCACCTCACCCGAGTCCAGGCCACGGAGAACGAGCAAAACACGATGATAACGTCCAATGGCAGTGCGCACATTTTTCTCCCGGTAGAATGCATTCCCTTCCGTCTTTAATCGAACTGCCTCCTGGAGCTGCGACTCCAAACGGGAACCAGATGATTCTCCAGTGGCTCTCAAACATGACGATGCACCAGCCTCTGCCCCATCATCCCCTGCAGTAGAACCTAAAACATGCCAAACATAACCAAAATAAGAGTTGACAACACAAAACTACTGCATTTTAACCCTATATGTAGCCACAGCATCTGCATCAGGAGACCAGTCTGTCAATTCATTATATGCTGGTTTTAGAAGATTCAGAAAGGTCTCCCATCCTGGCCAAGCCAAACCAGTGTATATCTGGTCTTCCAGTATGACCAGATAAGAAGTCCCCTAGTCCTTTTTAAAACAATAAGCAGAGAGACAAACTAACACCAGCAAACCACCTTAGGCTGCTTTTCCCAACAGAACACTGATCCCTTTCATGTTCATTCATTAGGTGTGTAGTAGACAGTTTTAAACGCTTACTAATAAATAAATAAATCAAATCAAACACGCTCATGAAATCTAAGTACATATAACAGAACTCACATCATTGAAAAAGTCGTAACTTTTTGAAACTTAAACACATTTCAATGAATTTGAACTGCGCCCAGCACAGCATGCAGCCTCGCCTAGATTTTATCACATAGAAAAGGAAACAACACGTCAAGTATCTTTTTTATAACCTTTTTGTCCATTGCGTTTAAAGCTTTAAAAGGGTTGCAGTCTGCTTAGAAGTCAGTTTAATGAAGAAAATATTGTTGGGACACTAAAGAAACAAATCTTTGACATTCTTCTTCGTGGTTGTTATGGTTGCACCATTGCATTTGGCAATACTACCTCCTACCGGTAGAATATTAATAGCGCAAACTCATATGAGCAATTTACATAATCTACATCCTATACATAATCTATGATCTACATCTTTAAAAATGAATGAACTAATGATTTTTAAAAATACTACACATGTAACACACAAGGAAACAAAAACACACAAGAAAAACACATCCATATATAAATTAAAATGATATAATTATTTTAAATATGTACATAATTTAAAATATTTATATAATATAAACATAAAAAATAATGTAGAAAAAAAACAAAAACAAAAAAACAACGGAAAACACTGACAAGTAGAGAAAAATAGATCCTCATGAATAGGGCAATCACTATAACATGTTTTATTGTGTTGTGGGAATCTGTCACATTTTTATTATTAGTTAAATAGAGAAGTGAGTCTGTTTGAACGAAAAAAAAAGTTAGAGAGTAGAATTTTAAAACTTCGGTTGGTGGAAAAAAATATACCAAACAAAAGAAATCCGATATACGTTTCTATCTGGACCCAGGCCCGGTACTAGGCTCGCTGGACTGGGGGGGGCAATCAGAAATTGTGGTAGGGCAGCACTTTCTAGGGTAATATATTCATAGTTTACTTTTATTTACTCAATTTTCAGTCTTGCATTTTGTGTCTGTGTGAGTGCAGAAATGTTAAATATATGTTAAATATGTGTGTAGACAATATTAAGTGAATCAAGCGAATCACACCCACTGCTCCGGGTGTGTTCACAGTGTGTGTTTGTGCACTTTGGATGGGATAAAAGCAGAGCACCAATATACACATACAGTATACACACACACACACACATATATATATATACATACATATATATATACACACACACAGAATATATATATATATATATATGGAATAATTATATGGTCATTGGAGAGACCAACCTGCATGATCCATTGGTATTCATTTTCCCTCCTTTTCCTGCAGCACGCTCTTCTCTGCCTTCCTCACGCTGCTGCTGAGTCTGTGTGTGCTCTTCCTCTCTGGAGGGGCCAGTGTTACTCTCACCCTGGGCCTGGTGTCCTGGTGCAACACGGTTACGGACCACAACACCAGACCCTACAGGTACACAAACCTTTAAATCTATAAGCTGACAGGAAGACTGTTTGTGTAGCACTTTACACAATACATATAGTTTCAAAGCAGCTTTAGAGACTTGATTATGGTCCAAAATCATAAAAAGCATGCTGAATTCATATTTAATAAAAAAATACAATGTATACTGTTGAATACACGTTTCATTGATGAATGAAATGCCTACATAATGTTGTCACATAGTGATGTATTGAATGATTCTCTCTGTCTCTGCAGTTGTGCTGAGTCACAGTCTGTTCCTCTATATCTGGACGTTGAGACCTCCTCGTTCTACTCTGAGCTCAATTGTGCACAGGTAAAGGAGAAATTGAAGTAACTTGTAGTTTGTTTTGAGATCTGTGGCTCAGTTCAACAAAACATGCATATTTTACATGGAAACACATTATTGTAAGCGTGTCTCTCTTTGCAGATCTCTCTGTGGTGTGTAACGGCTCTGTGGTTGGCTCACTCTATTTTGTCCTTCCTGAGGCTCTATCATTCTCACAGTCAGCAGATCAGCAGACCGTGTTTATCCAGGGAGAAGGAACTCCTCCTGGGCCAAACTCAAGTGGAGTGTCCCATTCATCATCCACATCCACACTCGCACCCTTCACACACTCCCAGTGTTTTTATTTAGCCATTTAGTGTTCATAGAAGTTGCACTTTGAGGTTGATCTAAGGCCAGTTTTATTGATGGGAAAGACTGGTCCAAGATTAGCGTAAAAGGGAATTAACTTCTAATCTAAACAGACAATCCCCACAGTTCTCATGCATGTTACACCTCAGTAATCGGAATTAGCCTTGGTTTTATCTATTCGTTACTTTTTATGCATTTGTTAAGAAGTTTTTGTCATGTAGCTTAGTGCTTACATTGAGGTAAAATGTTTTGCGTGCACCCATTTATAACTTTGCCATAACAAATGACAAAGGATTCTCAAATATATATGATATATTGCACTATTAATGCATTGCTCTTGCATATGCAAGATATCATCTAACTTTATATGTTCAGCCATATAATGTGAATTTTAAGTGAATGGGAAGGAAAGACTAGCCCGTTGCATGTGCTCAAGTCTGACCCATGCTTGTTTTGTACTGTGTACTTTTTGCATAGCCAATGGTACTGCCACTCAAACCAGACGTTCTCTTACTAATCTGGTAAGGTTTCTTATATGAAGCTGTTTGCGTTGATGCAAGCTCCTGGTTCAAAATCCACTTTTGCTGAATATTGCATTGTGTAATTTATGTGATGGAAATTCAAAGACAAGGAGAAGCTGAAAAAACAAGAATGTTGCTCATCCTTTTTGAATCTGGAACCTTTGACCTGGAGGACTGTTGTGAAACACAAACAGTTGAATAAGAAACAGGAGGGAGATGAGAGAGAAATGTTCATTTATGGTTTGGAAATGTGATGATGCTTGTGTTTTTTACTGCTGTTTGTATCCATTATGTCCTATTTATAAGCTCTTTTCACTTGAGTAAAGGTAATAGTACATGGTGTCTTGATCTGAAAGTTGGTCAACAAAAAATTACTAAAATAAAATATTCAAAGTAAAATGGCAAAAACATGGTAAAAGCAAACAGAGAAAACAAAAGAAAATATATTAATCAAAATTATGTTATGAAACAAATTAATAAAATGTTAATACCAGACTATAAAAATATGAATTGTTTAAATAAACCACATAGTCTCAAAAACAGTACAATTTTCAAACATATATTTGTGTCAATATTGCAATATAAATAGTTTTAAAATGTTAATACTTAAGGACTTAACTCTGTACCAGTACATATAAAAACAACAAGAAATAAACTTTTTTTTCCAGGTATTTGGAAAATATTAAGTGTGACATGCCAATAAACAGTTAATTGCAATGACATTTTCATTAAAGTGCATTCACTGACCGTATAATATAATTTAAAATTTAAAGCTGCACCTAACTACCCTTATTATTTATAATTTGTTTGATCAACATTAATGTATTTATTAATATATATAAAATCATGTAATATAAGGCCTTGTTTCCTCCCTGTCATAGTTGTCAGTAAAATGGTCAATACTGTCATTATTACTTTATCAACGGTTTCTATAAAACTGATAAATGGCTCAGCAGTAAAGGAAAGGGTTAGCTGGTTACTATTGCTCAGAATGCATTTTCCTCCTCAATACGGTTTGCACCTGTTATGCTACATGTCCTTGGCAATCTTAGACAGCTGATTAAACTTCTCTGTCTTTCATCACAGTCCCTTGTTGTAAGTCAGCACCTTGCAATCTGTTGCCATGGCAATTTCCGGCTCAAGGTGAGATGCCTCGATCTGTGAGGAGCAAAGAATGATTAGCAAGCAATTCCCTGCTAAAATATTTATTATTCAGAACACACACACACACACACATCTGAAAAGATTAATGGCAAGAGGTCGACAGACAAAATTAAACCTGCTGCAGCAATTGTTTGCTGTAGAGGAATAGGGGAAGTGATGCAGGTGTTGCTGCAGTACCTCTGACATCTGTGGGAAGAGACTGATAGCCAGCGGCAAGGACAGACCAAAGACTGCCAGACATACTAAACTGTGCACAGGCAGCAGCATCCTGCGATGGGCCTGCCTCCATACTTTTCCAAGAAGGCCATTATGATTGGTGGAAGGACAAAGATTGGCAGTGGTAGGGCTACTCGCGTTAGTGCTGTTTCTATCAGTGCCTGAAAAGAAAAAAAGAACTTTTGAAAATTCATATAACAGTGCAACATGGCTAGTAAGAATACAATTTTGCATTGATTTAAAAATAAAACACTATTAACAAAAAAACATTTTAGGCAAAAAAAGCTATCAACAAATTGAAGTGGAGAGTCCCAACTGTATAACTAACATACGCACATGTTTGGCAGCTATTCGTGAGGATCCCACTACATTCCCGTTGCTGTCTAACACATCTATTCCCTCAGACAGCTCATTGTGTCTCATCAGAGCCACGTTACAGATGTTCGCACTGGCTGAGAGCAGTACCTCTGACATCTGTGGGAAGAGACTGATAGCCAGCGGCAAGGACAGACCAAAGACTGCCAGACATACTAAACTGTGCACAGGCAGCAGCATCCTGCGATGGGCCTGCGTCAGAGGAAGCCTGGCGGAGGACAGTAATAACAGACTCTCATGACTGTTTTTGTAGCTATTAAACTATTTAATTATCATTTAGAGAATTAATTACAATTAAAATTATAATTAATAATATATTACTAATGTTATATAATAATATAATGTTAAATATATATATATATATATATATATATAATATTGAATATTAATCATATTAAATAACATAATTAAATATTCCCATTCAGAAATTAATTTAAATGCAAGTGAAGAAAAAGTAACTCCATACTTTTCCAAGAAGGCCATTATGATTGGTGGAAGGACAAAGATTGGCAGTGGTAGGGCTACTCGCGTTAGTGCTGTTTCTATCAGTGCCTGAAAAGAAAAAAAGAACTTTTGAAAATTCATATAACAGTGCAACATGGCTAGTAAGAATACAATTTTGCATTGATTTAAAAATAAAACACTATTAACAAAAAAACATTTTAGGCAAAAAAAGCTATCAACAAATTGAAGTGGAGAGTCCCAACTGTATAACTAACATACGCACATGTTTGGCAGCTATTCGTGAGGATCCCACTACATTCCCGTTGCTGTCTAACACATCTATTCCCTCAGACAGCTCATTGTGTCTCATCAGAGCCACGTTACAGATGTTCGCACTGGCTGAGAAGTAAAACATATCTTAATGATGACCATCCATGCTAAACAAAACATGACATCCAGTTTCTGTGAAAGGTCATTTGTGACTCTGCACCACAAAACCAGTCTTAAGTGTCAATTTTTCGAAATTGAGATTTATACATCATATGAAAGCTGAATAAATAAACTTTCTATTGATGTATGGTTTATTAGGATAGGACAATATTTGGCCGAGATACAACTATTTGAAAATCTGGAATCTAAGGCTGCAAAAGAAATCTAAATATTAAGAAAATCACCTTTAAAGTTATTCAAATGAAGTTCTTAGCAATGCATATTACTAATCAAAAATGACGTTTTGATATATTTATGGTAGGAAATTTACAAAATATCTTCATGGAACATGATCTTTACTTAATATCCTAATGATTTTTGGCATAAAAGAAATGATTTTTAGCATAAAAGAAAAATCTATCATTTTGACCCATACAATGTATTTTTGGCTATTGCTACAAATATACCCCAGCGACTTAAGACTGGTTTTGTGCTCTAGGGTCACATTTGTTCATCAACATAGATTCCACCACATGGACAGGTAAAAAAAAAATTAAAATAGCCTGATACAATATTCATTTGATGTGTCTAAGAATTCCCAGTTGAATCTGCAATTTACTCGGTTCTAGTTGTTTTTCAGAAATTTTTACCACAGTAATAGACCCCACCCCTTTGACAGCTTTATTTGGGGTTCGTCCAGAAAATGTTTAACTGACAGCTTTAGAGATGAATAATATTGCACTTTGCACATCTCCCCCAACCTATCGTCAATGAGTTTTTGACCTACTTTTTGCCCTCAACCTTGAAAATGTTAAATTCGAAGTCAGAATGAAACCCGATATTTTCATAAAATCTTGGAGCCCCTTTTTAAATTACTTTAAGGAGACAGGGTCTGGATAAAGTTTTTTCCTCCCTTTGTTTATTTTGATGTTTAATGTATAAGCATATATTGCTGTGATTATATGTTTATATGTGGGCATGTACTACATTTTTAATTCTATTTTTTTTTTTCACTTTCCTAATTTTGTAACAATTCGATGCTCGTATTGTACCTTGAGATATTTATTTGTTTTTTAGTAATAAATAATAAATTAAAATAAAACAGCTGTTCTAATAATCTTGGATAAATATGCATCACGGTTTCTACTAAAATATCAAGCAGCACAACTGTATTTAACATTGCCTATAATAAGAAATGTTGCTTGAGCATCAAATCAGCAGATTAGAATGATTTCTGAAGGACCATGTGACAGTAAAGTAATGGCTGCTGAAAATAATTACAGGAAAAAATTACACTTTAAAATAAATGTGACCCAGGACCACAAAATCTGTCTTAAGTGTCAATTTTTCGAAATTGAGATTTATAAATCATCTGAAAGCTGAATAAATAAGCTTTCCATTGATGTATGGTTTGTTAGGATAGGACAATATTTGGCCGAGATACAACTATTTGAAAATCTGGAAACATGAACTTTACTTAATATTCTAATGATTTTTAGCATAAAAGAAAAATCTATCATTTTGACCCATACAATGTATTTTTGGCTATTGCTACAAATATACCCCAGCGACTTAAGACTGGTTTTGTGCTCCAGGGTCACAAATTTAAAAAGAAAACTGTTAATTAAATTGTAATGATATTTCACAATATTACTATTTTGCTGTATGACTGATCAAATAAATCCAAATATTACTGACCCCAAACTTATGAGCAGTATTTTATGTGTTATGCTTCCATACTGACAGCAGGGGGAGCTTCGTGCAATGCAGAAGAGTGTAGGACTGCGGAGTCAAGCGAAATGCTGTCTCTGTGTAAGGACATACCTACAGCAGGGAAAGGGATAAACCTCTGTATCAACAGCCTGGTGGCAGGGTTACATTTGCTGGATTTCTCGAGAAGTACATTCAGTCCCACCTACAGTAAGACAGAATATTACAGGAGAATTTAAATGACATTTACAAGTGAAACATTACTTAAGATGTTATAGTAGTATATTAGAACACTAAGGGGTATTAACCATTTTATAATCATAAATAAATATTCTTAAAAATTATTTTCATATCAAACATTAAACATTTTAATAATAAATCTCAAACAAAACTTGCTCATCACTGACTTACTGCAATAGAAACAGCGCTGGTGACGGCTCCCACATATCCCTGAATAAACTTTGAGGTTGGTGTTGGCTAAAGGTCAAATCGGGGGGGAAAACAATCATCAACATCCAGGTGTAGCAAATGTACCACTTGTGCATTGTGCATCGAAAAAACACTCTGAGGTTGTGAACCGCAGTCAGATGCAGAGCAGACGTCTGGCCCTCGGGACACAACAATGATCATTCAAATGGAATCAAGAAGAGGAAACGCTTCACTGAATGACCATCTGCAGCCGCAATGCAATAGTTCAACCTCAAAAACTTGACCTGAATTGAAAGAGCATTTCAGACCGTACCTTTGTGGCATTGCGGTTGGCGTAGTTCACACAAGCGTTGTGACTCTGGTTGAGCCACTGTAGAAGAGAAATTCTCAATTAGCCCGACAGTCACTTGAATTATTGGTTGATTATTCTTGAATTACTCTGTCAAATTATGACTGATTTGATTTTCTATGAAGTCAGCTTCTGGTAAAAGGCAAATATATAGGAAATCTAATGAATTAGGACTACTTTAGTCTAATTACGTATTTCTAACTGTGAAACAGTGGCTGTTGGGA